GGAATATTTATCAAAAGTAATACTAAACACTCAGAAATAAACTCTTATCAAACACATAAAATATAAGCCACTACAATCAATGTCATTTTTAATAATCATGACATCAACATCTCAATAATATACTGCTGACCAAGGCATCGAATAACAATAAAAGAATACAAATATTTTTTCGAATCCTACCCAATACCACTCGGTGAATTTGTTGTTCTCAAACTGGTCGAACCATTTACTTAATGTTGGAGACATATTACGACAGACAACTTTTTCACGAGTGCATTATTAATGACAAAATTGTTAATAAAACAAACAACATTAGTTAGAACTATTCGGAGTAACAGAAGAGAATTGTCTAAACTGTCGAAATCAACAAAAGACAAAATGAAACATTTCTCGATAATAATTAATAAATAAAATAATTGTACTCTAAAAATTTATAAATCCAAACTAAGCAAAAAGTTATAATACAAAGTTCGAAGCATAAACGTGTAAAAATCAATAACGATAGAAAGTGAATACCCAAGACAGTTGCGTATTATAATAAAATCAAAGTCAGCGTCGATGTTACCGATCAATGGTTAGCATCAAGTTTAAATCCTAGAATAGTCTGTGCCAGTTTTTTTCAACATACTTGATATGGCCGGTATCAATGGATCCTTTATAAGGAAACAAGTAGACAAAATATATCAAGATAACAATTTCTATTATAATTAGCAGAAGAGTTTGCCGAAGTCTATCCCGGCAAACTCTTTTGAGCAAAAAAATGTCAAATTTCTTCAAAAAGAAAAAAAATACGTATAAGAAACATCAAGGCCAATGTAATATTTTGCATTCGCGGAAAATATGCCAGATACGATTTTGCAAAGATAATAAAACAACTAAATCTTATGTGATTTGTAAAAAATATGTCTACGATAACTGCATAAAGAAGAAACCTATCATTTGCAAAAAATGCAATTAAGATAACAAAAACATCCTTCATTTACTTCTAAATGAAGTAAACGCTGCCTCTATAATCTTCTGCTTATGTTATGTTCTATTATATTTATGTCTTGTTTATAATACATATAAAAATGAAAATATATAATTGGTTATTTTATTATTACTTAAAAGTTATGTTCTACATTATTTCTTACAATAAATTGACAATTCCTTTTGAAAAAACAATATTTACTTCATAACCAGTCAAATGATCCGGAATCAATTTCTAATATACTAAACATACCCATAAAAGTTGCAATACTACTTTATGTTATTTAATGATTATTGGTAATTATATCAAAATCCGTACGATATTATAGTTTAACCATTAAAAAAAATATAAATAATTGAACCCTTTATTGGGTTCTATCAACGCGTACGATGCTTTCCTTAGTATTTATAAACCGCGTTCTGAATGTCTCCATTCAATTTCTAAGATTACATCGATAATTTGGTATTATACAGTTACAAAACATCATATTTAAAATGTCAGCTTATTACTCTAATGAAGAAATGGTAAATATGCATTTTATGTATGGTCATGGTAATTGAAACTCTAGCAGACCTAGGTTTATATTGATGCCAAATACGGAGAATTACATTTTAAAGATTGTAGAAGAAAATCCTGAAACGTAAAAAGAATATTCGATGTCGAAGGAATCGGTACTACTCTCGTTTAGAGAATGCGCCATGAGCAGTTATTTTATCCATACCATTTCTAACGAGTATAAGTACTCATTTCGCTGAACTATCAAGAATAGAATTTTCACAGTGGTTATGCGTAAAGAGTGTTTCGAATCTGAATTTTCTTTCTTGGATTTTATTTACCAATGAAGCTTCATTTACACAAAATAAAATTATAAATTTCTATAATAATCATGTATAGACAGAAAAGAATTTATACTTAGGTATTTATTCAAACAAATCACCAACATCGTTTTTCGTTAAATGTTTAGATGTGTATTATAGGAAATCACTTTACTGGTCTTGTAATACTCCCAAGTTGGTTTATCTCAATTTCTTGATTACTATATTACCTCAGTACTTGGACGATATGCCTTTGGCAAACAGATTATTGGTATGTTACTTGCATGATGGCTCATGGTTTCATCTCATTTTATGCGTGATGTGAGAAAGTATTTAAACATGGTGTTCAGTTAAAGGTGGATTGGACGTGGTGGACAGTTTCGTGGTCTCCTGGATCTCCCGATTTCAAGCCTTTGATTTCTTTTTTCGGGGATATTTGAAAAGCAAAGTGTATTCTTCGCCGATAAATAACTTAGAGGAATTACAAAACCAAATCTGCAATGCTTATGAAATGATCCGACAGAGATCATTCGAAAAGGTTCGTGATTCTATAAGAAGAAGATGCCAAGCGAAATGGAAGAAGAACATGTAAAACTCCTTCTGTAAATCGAAAAGCCAATAGTAAGTCAATCGTAATAATAACATACAAAAATCTCAGAAACAGTTGATTTTTCGACCTATATTTATTAAGACTTTTTTATTCAGTATAGTGTGTTCTATGTATTGCATAAATATTGAATGTAAATATTGAAATACAAAATTTTTGAACACCCTATATACTCAAATCTATATATTCTATCTCAGCTGTGTAATTTCAAAATTTTGTATGATGTATATCTATTTCTATGGATACCGTCAAATTGATGAGTCGGCTAATTTGATAGTTAATTGTAAAAAATTGCAAATAGGCGGATCTAGTGGCAGATGACTAAATTCAGTGACGTCGCAGGATCTATTGCGACAAAAAGTATTATGTTAGGTCATGTAAATAATCAATTCTGATTGATAATCAATAGAAACATAATTCAAAATATAAAAAATTGTAAGCGCGTCGAATTTTGAAAAGGGATTAGACAATTTCAACTGGTTAATTGTATGCTTTTGTAGCAATTTTGTATATTCGGAGAGCATATCAAGTAAAATCATTGAACGTTTCGTATTTATAGTTCAAGAAATGGGGCTTACTTTTTTTTACAAATGCAATAGAGATAAATTTATGGACATTTTTAGATTCATACATTTTGATAAAAGAATAACGATATAAACATTTACGTACAGATAAGTTTGTTTTAATATTCGAAACATGGAGTAAATTTATAGACAATAGTCAAGCGTGTTATAACCATATCAAGCTTAGAAGCCATATGAAAATCTTTCAATTGATATATAATTGTTTCCTATGAAAGTTCGATGTTGTTTTGCACAATGTATAAGTTACATAAATTAGACATAAAATTTTGATAGCAGCCAATATTAAACTAAAATATGTACATTATAAATAGTTTTTCATATTTGAATAAAGATAAAAACTCCTTGAATAAAGATAAAAAATCTTCGATATCTTTGAGGGAATTTGTAGTCTTTAAATTAGTCGATCCATATGAGCTGAGATAGAATATAACTATAGATAACTTTTTTCACTATACCATATATTTCATATACCTATATATTTCAAGTATACCACTTCCAAAAAAATTACTTATACAAAAACAACCTTGATTACAACCATCCGGGCGAACAAAAGAGAGTACCGGAAATAGCAAAATAATATAAATATAAAATAACCATGTTTACCTCACTGCATTATAAATCAGACCACTGCATTCTCACTTCTTACTAGGTAAACCAAAAATAAAAGTATTATTACTAACCACAAAACATACATTTTTGAAAGTTGAGAATAATTAAAATTACGTATAATAATCGTATTACAAAGATTTTTACGTAACATCGGTATTACAAAGATTTACCTAATAGCAATGTTTAATGTTTGTAAGGTAACCGAGCTACCGAGGTTGTATGTGCGTATGGCTTTGTCGTGTTTGTTGGTTGTGAACGTCAAGAAATACAAAATAAAAACCATGGTAACTATCTATGTCGAGAAGACATTCGAGAGACGTAAAAACCAGAATATAACAAGTCGTTGGGGTGGATGACTTAGGGTGAACTAATGTAAACGTTTGATAGTTCTTAATACCTATTTTTTACTCATCTTGATCTATTGATATCTTGCTGATCTATTTCTATCTTCTAATATATCTTATTTGATCTTACAATAAATTTCTTACATATTAAAACAAATACCAATATGATACCAAAATCTCGGAAGATGTTGGTATTCGATCACTGGAATCAAATTTGTTATATATATCCTCTAATCTCATTCTATAAATCTCGATTTGTTCCTTAAACAATTGTTATTCACATCTTTGAGTATCTTCAATCTTTCTGATAGACTACTTATAATGTACATGTTATATGGATAAAAAATAACTTATATGCGAAAGTGGCTACTTGATGAAAATAAGAAGAAAGATTTTTTTAGAAAAATTAGTCTGGTAATTACTAGGTAATATTATTGAAAGAAGTGATACAACATTTGAAACTTAAGAAATTTTATTGCATCAGCATATAGCAGTAGTCATTGAAAAGAGTGGCAGAAAATTGAAAAGAAACAGAGAATATGATATAAATTTCCGAAAACGTACTAGATGTTGCATTTATATATGTAATGATAATAAGTATAAAGAAACATGTAATAAACGTTCAAAATATGTTTATAATATTCATGGAATATAGAAAACACCTAGATTGTGTGTGAATTATTACGAATGAAAGTTAGTAAATGTTATGTTTCTGTAAAAATGCATTCGTTTTTCCAACTATGATACAGTAGAACATCGGTTACCTGGATCAATATTGACCACATGTGGCAGTCAGAGATAAGCTAGAATATTAATACATTATTGTCAATTGATCTTTACTCTATAAACCAGTATACCGAAACGTAAGCGTAACATTTTATCAATTCAAACGAAACGTGAAATACTAACTAGATTAAATAGTGGTGAAACAATAATTGAAATGTAGCATCTTGTGGAATTAGAAAATCAACAGTTTATGGTATTAAAAGACGAAAGTATGAAATTCTGAATTACAATAAAGTTTCACACTAAAGTTTCATAGTGAATTCATCACAGTGCATAAAAAAAAGTATGAAATCTGCTAATATTAGGTTGGAAACTATGAAACGGGCGTTTTTTGTTTAGTCTGTGTTCAGCTGCGACTAAGAGAGATACATTGTAACGTGCGCTCGATATTTTAATTTATGAAGCTTAAAGTCATTCTTCTTACTCATTTTGTAAAATTTTTTCGTGTCTGTATCCCATTTTTATTTTATTTTTATCCTAAACCAGATGAAAACAAAACGCGATTTACATCTACTCTTCTTGTACGAGTTTAAATTAAATCATACCGCAGCTCAAGCTTCAAGAAAAATTAATCAGGCATTCGGAGATAGATCCATCAATGAAAAAAATGCTCGATATTGGTTCCAAAAATTTCGTTCTGGCAATTTGAGTATCGTCAATGAGCCTCGAGGAAGACCACCGGCCCATATTGATAACGAAGAATTAAGGACGACTGTGGAATCCGATCCACACACAACTAGTCGAACACTTGGGTCTAAACTAGGAACTAGTCATACAGCTGTGTTAAAATATTTGCGTGCAATAAATGAAGTCAAAAAATTGGACTCATATGTGCCGCATAAATTGACGCAACTGCAGATGATCGACTGCAAAAGCAAGTGCGCATCTTTGTTGCTTCACAATACACGATTGCCATTTTTACACTAAATCATCACTTGTGATGAAAATCGGATTTCGTATGATAATCGAAAACGATCAAGCCACTAGGTAGATAAAAATACACCCCCAGGACATACTCCGAAACCGAAATTTCATAAAAAAAAAATTATGGTCACCATAAGGTGGAATGCCCAAGGAGTGATCCATTATTCCTTTTTACAACCAGGCGAAACTATAACAGCGATGTTTTATTGTGAAATTGATGTCATGCATGAGAAACTTATGAAAAAACAACCAGCATTGCTCAATCGGCACGGCGCAATATTACTGCATGATAACGCACGATTACATAAAGCTTCAAATTAACTGACAAATTAACTTCTCTACAATATGAAATTTTACCACATCCTCCATATTCACCCGATATTTCACCGATCGATTATTACCTTTTTCGTAATTATGTATTATTTTTAAGAGAAAAAAAATACAATAACCAAAATGATATTATAAAAGACTTTGAATTATTTATTAACTCTAAAAATAAAGATTTTTTTCAAAAAAGCATATATGATTTGCCCAATTGTTGACAAAAAGTTGTAAATGGAAATTATTTCAATTGAATATAATAAATAATGTGAAAAATTGCGCTTTTCGTTTTTTATTTTCATAGTTTCCAACTTAATAATAAAATTCTTGACATGGCTATGTATGAATGGTTTTATCAAAAGAGAGACAGAGGAGAATTTATATCGGGGCTTATCGTATGTAGAAAAGCTTTAGGGTATAATCAAAAAGTGAATGGAGATTGTAATTTCAAAGCATCATCGGATTGGTTAGCAAATTTCAAATCACATTATTCGTGATATTCGTGGACTGTGTATGTCAAGCGAAAAACTATCGTCGGATAAACCTGCAGCTGAAATCTTTAAAAACGAGTTTATAGAATTACTAAGGAAAGAAAATTAACTGCTGGAAAATGTGTATAATGCAGATGAAACTGGTTTGTTATAGAAATCATTTTCGCGAAAGACTTGAAAGAACTTTGGTATGTCAACATGAACGTTCAGCACAGTGTCATAAAGTCGGTAAAGATCGAATCATGGCTCTTGTCTGTGCGAACGTCCAGACTTCGATGTTTCAAGGATGTAAATTCTAACATTTTTATTGAATGGTTTTCAACTATTTTTGTGTTGCCCGTAAAATAATAATAATTAAAAACCGGAAAGCGAGAGAAAATTTTATTGTTGATAGATAACGCAACAAGCTATGCATTCTGTGATATCTTAAATGAAAAAGATGAGTTTCTAAGTCTTCTTTTTGCCGCCTAATATAACATCATTAAGACATCCTATGGATCAAGGTGTAATTGCATGTATTATGTCTAGTGCTACTCTCATACTTTATATAATTAACGAGCGTAATTGTTAACCTTGTATCTGTCATATGGGGAGTCGTTTTATTAACCATTTATATCAATCGTTCTATTTTATAATTAACTATTATAATCGATCATTCTATTAAACTATTTTGGGGATTTTCTTTATCAAATACACATATGAAGACATTGTATTCATTTATTATTAATCATTCTTTGCGCATAATTCGAGTCCAATGTATTGGAAACTTTCTTTATTATAAATATTATAATATGTATACGCAGCTTTACGTACATCCTATGTATTATAAGTAACTTTACGTTCACTCCATGTATAAGAGTGATATCCAGTAGCTATCCATATGCTTGCATCATCCTATGCCAGTAGCGAAGGGAAAAACCCATGGTTATGGAATTACCTGCGCCACTTCACAATCTACGACAACCTACGTAAATCCCCTTTACAATGTCACGAGCAATCCTGTACTGTTAATTAAATTTTAATTAATTAAAATATTAATAAATTAATAATAAAACTAATAATAATAATTAATTAGATGAGAATAAACATTTATATATTGCTGATTAGTCATCTGATTTTATTTATTTAGTGGTAAGAACCCTCGAAACCATAATTGGTGACCCTGACGTGATACCAAATGGTTAATTCGTGTTAAAAAAAATTACTCATTTATAAGATGACGCTGTCAGCCATTTTAAAAAAATAAAAAGGAAGCCGCGAAAATGATCACATAATAACACATGCTGAGAATTCCGACTAAAAAAACTCACACAATGTTATCACACGAAAGAACATCTCTAGGCGACTCCCAGGATTTATTCTTTCGTGTTATGACAAAAACCTCAACAATGCTCTGTTAAATAACAAAACAATAGGCAACAATTCATTGGCCGAATTTTCCAGTAGAAATCAATCCACGCACTAACAACTGATCAACTTCGCCAGCGGAGACTCTAGCGAAAACCAACGCTCCAGCCACAGAATGGGAACGTCAACGTACGCAACATATCTTTACAGCTAATCTCAACCTATTCCAATTTGCCACGGAATGTAGTTTGCCATTGCAGAAGCAGATTTCATCGCCAATCGTATTACCAGTGATAACTAGAAGTATAACCAGACACTCAAGGCATTTCTATTCAACATCTTTAAGCAACTTTGGGACACCATCAATGCATCACTAGTACAAGATAAGTATCAAACAATCAAAAACGCTATTTTCATTTGATTTTCTGATTTAAGATAGATCCAACTGTATAAATTACTCAAAGAAATGATACTTGGCGACAAAAATTCCAATTTCTTCCAAAGATGCGCAACCTTGCCAGAGGTGCAATGGAGGAGGAAGCTTTATACCAGTTATGGAAAGAGTGTTTTCCAACCTGGGTACGTCCATATCTCCTGGTTTTATTCAACCTCAACGATCTCAATAACGTAGCGGAAATCACAGACCGACTCGTACTCAACATGGAAAATGACTCGGTATACGCGATACATAATCGAGAACTGTCACAGGCAACAAATCTAACTCAAATAGAGCAGCAGCTACAGGAGATCAAGATTACTCTAAAAATCTGTCAGCAAGAAATCAACAATCTACAAGTAAGTCGGTAACAAACCCAAAAACAATTACTTGATGTTCAATTACAGCAACAACAGCAGCAGTTACATAATAATATGCAGCATCACATCAAATACAATCAAGGCTCCTACGAATAGGAACAGGTCGGTAACACCGAATCGCAACAGTTACTGTTTTTACTACAACAGGTGGGGAAATGACACTCGACAGTATGTTTAGCCATGCAAATTTACACCTCTTACACTACCAATTAGGGAAACAAATTGCTGTCATCAATCCGGGCAGTTGGGAATAGGAGTAACGAACTGTTATCTGAGGAACTGCGCTTACACATATGCATTACACATTACACATATTTAACACTAACCAAAAATTGCTAATAGACTCTGAATCAGTGGTATCTATCATTTTTGCTAATTATGGTCATAAACAGTTGGAAAAAGATCCATTCGCTTTGTACGTAGCCAATGCATCAGCCATTAACACATACGACTGTAAAACCATTCAACTGGATCTCAATTTATGCAGAAATCTCTTCTGGTCTATTATTATCGATGTTCAGACTGCAATAATCGGAGCAGACTTTCTGATGCATTTCAATCTGTTCATTGATTTAAAGAATCAACATTTGATTGATCCTTTTACTTCACTTTCAACAAAAGGAGAAACTCTGGCCACTCGCACATACAACATCTCAACAATCAACTCAACACTATTGACAGCATACGTCGAGCTGTTAAACAACTATATGACCCGTTTATTTTGAAAGTGGCCTATCATTTGTCAATTTTTTCCGGTTGCCATGGTTACATGTACAACTTCATGTTATTTATCAGTAAAGCATTTCAGGTTGCTTATATTCCGAGCAAATACGATAATTCTTAACACATAAGTTTTCAGAGTTAGTTCAATAATTGAACCGTGTAGTTTGAAAGTGGCCTAACTGAATTTATACTTAAATCAAGATATTTACTATTGATAATGTCTGAAGGCAGTGATGAAGGTAATTTGAATTAATTAGTATTTAATAATGATTGGATCATCAAGAAAATTATCTGAGGAAGGGAAAAAGCACGCTCAAAACCATATTAAAACTTTTCCTAAATTTGAATCCCATTATACCAGATCTCATAATTCTAATAGAATCCTAATATCTACATCCTGATCTAACTCTTAGGAAAATGTTTAATTTATACGAGGTTCATTGCGAGGAAAATAAAATAAAAGCCGTTAATGAGTGGACTTACAGAAAAATATTTAACAAAGATTTTGATTTACATTTCCACCAACCGCGTAAAGATACATGTCAAAAATGCGACTTATTAAACATCAAAATTAAAGCATCGAATGATGATGAAGAAAAGAATAAACTTACAGAAGAACACGATGTCCATTTAAGACTAGCAGAATCAGCTAGGAATTCACTAAAACAAGATCAGGAGCAAGTATCACGTAATTTAGATTATTATTTCGCTTTCTCGTTCGACTTGCAAAAAGCATTACCTCAAGTTGATTACCTCAGTAGCATATTACAAACGCAATATGTATGTTCTAAATTTGGGTATTCACAATTTTCATAACGATAATGTTTACATGTACGTTTGAGATGAAACTATTGCATCTAGAGGTGTTCAAGAAATTGTTTCATGCATCCTAAAACATGTTAAAAATTTAAGAAGTGAAAGACACATTATAGCTTACAGTGACATGTGCGCCGGGCAAAATAGAAACATTAAAGTAGCTTTAATGTGGTTAAAAATTGTCCAAACTTTGGAAAATAATGTGGAAATCATAGATCACAAATTTTTAATATCAGGACATTCGTTTTTACCAAATGATAGAAATTTTGACGTGTTAGAAATGCCATTAAAAAAAAATAATTTACTGTTCGTTTCCCAAGATTATTACAAGATTATTAAAAAGTGTCGGAAAGGTAATAACTTTATAGTAAATGAAATGAGATAAGAAGATTTTGTATTAACAAAATTATTAGAAGACGTAATTTTTAAAAGGTTAAAGAATTCTGATGGAGAATCAATAAACTGATTAAAAATATGTTGGATGCGTTTTGTCAAAAATAAACCGTATACAATTTTCTATAAGACATCAATGAATGAAAATGAAAATTTTAAAGTCCTGAATTTATTACCACGTCGGGGTAGACCAAGAAAGTTCGAAAATTTTGTATTGACACCACTGTATAAAAATATCAGACAAATTACAACAGCAAAATTCAAGGACATAATTGACCTATTACGATATATACCACCGGAACATCATGATTTCTTCAAATCCCTTTCACACACATAAAATGTAGATGAGTAGTAAATTGTATTGTTATAAATTTATGTTTGTAATTTTGTACGTTATGTAGTTAAAAAATG